CTGCCTGCCTGATTGCCCCTAACCACTTGCCTGCCTGCCTGATTGCCCCTAACCCCTCTGCCTCAGCCCCCGCCTCCACAGCTTCATCAGGAAGGACGTCCAGAAGGTCATTTGGCTGTCCGGTCTAATTAGCATATTACGCTTTTATTATTATACATGCACTGAAAATAATTTTCTAGCAGAAATAGGGAGGTGGTGCTCAGTTGTTTTGCTTCTGGTATTGCTGTTAGAAAATCTGAAGCCATTCTGATTCCTGATCCTTTTTCTTTGAGACCTGCTTTCTTGCTCTGCAAACTTAGTTATTCATGTCTTCATGTTGATGTTACTGTGTTGGGCACTCAGTGGATCCTTTCAATCTGGAAACTTCAGACGCACATTCTTGATGGGGAACTTTTCTTGAATTATTTCACCAATAACCCCCTACCCCCATCTTCTCTGCTTTCTCAGGAACTGAAATTTAGCTATTGGACTTCCTGAATTCATCCTGTCTTGTCTTTTTCATTCCTATTTTCTGTTTCCTTGTTATTTTATTTACATTTCTCAATGGCAATTCCAACCCTTCACTGCTTTTAAGTTCCATAGTTCCCTACCTACCCCACCTCCCAACTTTAGCTCTAGAGAAAATACAGACATTAAGAATTATTACCTCTCTTACTGTCTTAGAGGAAAAAAACTGGCTTTGCTCTACATTTCTCCTGGGAATTAAAGTAATAATTAAACTACCCATCACATCTTCAATATTTACCTCAGACAGCAAGTTTCCCCCACCCTAAAGCACAACCAGCAAAACAGAAACAATCAACCTTCTCATAACCCTGTTTTCTCCTCCAAACTTGTCAGACTTCTTGAAAGAACAGATAAAACTATCTTTACTCTATCTTCACACAATCTATTTCCCTAACTATATCTACCCATCATTCCCAAGCTAGAAATATGAGTATCTTCAATCCCCTATTTTTCTTTACCAACCATAACTTATCCACTGCAAATTCTAAAAATTCTAGCTCTAACATCCCCACCATCACTACCCCCACTTAGGATGAAATAATTTTCAAAACTATCTCCTAGACCTAGACACTAGATTTTCCTTTACATTGTCCAACTTTCAACACTGCTCACAGCTATGTTGCTATAAAAACTCCCTAAAATCACTGCTGAATAAATAAAGGAAGGAATAAAGTGAATCTGGCTGGATAAGTCTAGAGAGTCATTCTGTTCCTAAGAATTAGGTTAGTGTGGGGCCTGCTTAGACTTGTTCAATTGTTCCTCATCTACTTGTTTTTATTTGACTAAGTTAGTTAAACTCAACTTCAAAATTATCTTGGCACAAAGTTAAATGACTCACACTGCCTGATTTCAAAACTTACTGTAAAAGTAATCAAGATGGTATGGGTACTACCATAATGCTAGACATATATATTGATGGAATAGAACCTGGGAGTCCAGGTTTATGGTCTTTTGATCATCAACAAGAGTGCCAAGACAATTCAGTGGGGGAAAGAATAGTCTTTACAACAAATTGTTCTGGGACTAGAAATGCACATAAGAATGAAAATGAGCCTCTATCTATACCATATATAAAAATTAACTCAAAATGGGCCAAAGACCTAAATCTAAGAGCTAAAACTATAGAACTCTTAAAAGAAAATATAAGTGTAAATCTTCATAATCTTGGATTAGGCAGTGGTCTCTTAGATATGACACCTAAAGCCCAAAGCAACCAAAGAAAAGAGATAAATTGGGACTTCATCAAAATTAAAAACTTTTGTGCTTTGAAAGATACTATCAACATAGTAAAAAGATAATCCACAGAATGAAAAAAAAAATTTTGCAACTCTGATAGGAGACTGTATCTGAAATATGTAAAAAACTTTTATAAGAATATTTTAAAGACAACCTAATTGAAAACAGGCAAAGGATCTGAATAGACATTTCTCCAAAGAAAACCTACAAATGGCCAATAAGCACATGAAAATATGTTAAAAATCGGTGGCCATTAAGGAAAGGCAAATCAAAACCACAAGGAGATAACACTTCACCTCCCACTACAATGATTATTATAAAAGACAGATAATAACAAGTGTTAGTGAGAATATGGAGAAGCCAGTACCCTCATACATACACTGCTGGTAGGGATGTAAAATGGTGCAGGCACTCAGAAAAACAGCCTGAGTTCTTCAAAAGTTTAACCAGAGTTCTCACATGACCAAGTAATTTCACTCATAGGTATATAACCAAGAAAAATGAAACATGCTCACACAAAAACTTGTACAGAAATGTTCATGAAAGTATTATTCTTAATAGCCCCAAAGTGGAAATAACTAAATGTCTTATCAATTAATGAATGGGTAAATAAAGTATGGTGTTCCTTACAATGGAATATTTTTCAGCCATAAAAAGGAATAAAGTTCTCACACATGCTACAACACAGATAAACCTTGAAAACATCTATGCTAAGTGAAAGAAGGCAGACACAAAAGGCCAAATATTGTGATTCTACTTACATGAAATATCCAGAATAGGCAAATCCGTAGAGACAGAAGGCAGATTAGTGATTGCCAAGGGACTGGGGGAAGGAAGGAGGGAATAGGGAGTGACTGCCTATGGGTATGGTGTTCCTTTTGGATGAAAATGTTCTGGAATTAAATATGGTGATAGTGGCACAATCTTGTTAAAATACTAAAAACCACTGAATTTTAGTTTAAGGTGAATTTTATGGTGTGTGAATTACATCTCAATTAACACTAACTTTGCATTCTTAAAATATCTAACAGGCAAATATTCAGGATAGCTGGGTTGCTGAAGGTCACACTGGGTCCAAAGATTGACAAAGCTAGCACACTAGTCAAGGAATTCTGCCTTGGACTCAGCAGGCTAGTGAAGCAAGGCATTGCTGTACCAAGCAACCACTTTACTCTCCTCTGGGTATATATTTTGCCTGATGTGCAACATGTATTTCTGTTGTAAAATCAAATGTATTTCTGCTGTATTAAAATGTTATCAACATTGTTGCTTGCCAGTTATGGGTAAACCTAGAAATTCAATTTTTAATAAGGACTTTGGCAAAGAAGCAAATTTTGAGGCCTTAGGTAAGAAAAGATGACTATATGCTAAATAAAAACCACTTAATGATGAGAGAAAGATATGTCTATACATCTTCACACTCATTTAATATGTGAAGAAGTATGCACAACTAATTAATATTCATAACCAATTGAATATCTTAGGCAACTTGGCTAAAGCAGCTTGTGGCAGAGCCACTGAAAGTGAGAGAACATCCTTAGTGTTAGGAATACAGTGGTGGACAGAGCAAAGGCCCTGCCCTGCAGGAGTTTACCTTCTGGTGGGGAGAAAAAGTGAGGAACAATATACATAATTTCTGTCGGGTGACTAAGTTTTATAGAGAAAGATTAAGAAAGAAAAGGAGAGTGAAAAAGATGGTGGGGGGGTTGCTAATGTATAGAGCAGTGGTTCTCAACCTTCCTAATGCCGCAACCCTTTAATACAG